AAAATCAAAGACTTAAAAATAGATGAAGATGAAATTATGGTTTCATTCGATGTCACAGCATTCTTTACATCCAGAACTAGAGAAAGAATCCATGGCAGCAGTACTGCACAACACACCCAACCTAACCAAATATACTAAGATAGAAATACCCAGAATCATGGACCTCATCAACCTCTGCTTCACTACCTATTTTCAGTTTGATGGACAAATATACTAACAAATCAGAGGAACACCCTGCGTTCAACAGTTCAACCCTGAGCTACAAATATTCTCTTAACATGCCTATAAGCATTGACTGAGTTGTTTGGATAAGGTGTTAGTAATGAAGAAATCATTGTAGACATTAAAAAGTCATTCTCATACTTCATTTGTGTTTCCTAGGCCACATAGTCCAACTGTGTGTTCCTCCTTACTAATTCCTACTTCGGCATTTCAGATCCGATTATGAACAGCTTGCTTTGTTTGCATTTTCGATCAATTTCACCTGTATTAGTGTATTTGAAACCCAAACAGTTTTATATAGCTCTTGAACAATATTGCATAGGTAAAGAATCTGAAGTAAATAGAAGTGGTAAAGTACAATAGCTAATATTTAATATTAACTAGACAACCCGTGACCCGTTGGGTGATCATTTCAGATATGTTTTCTTATCTAAACAGAGAAACAGAATGACCATGGGTGGGCAAAAAAGCAGTGGGAGTGGGAGTGACTTCTGACTTCCTGCTCCTTCCCCACTGAATTTGCTTGTGGGAAGCTAGCATGGAGTGTCAGTGCTCATGATCGAGTTTAGACTTCCTTCCGGCTTCCCCATTGACTTGTGAGAAACTGTCAGGAAGCATTGTAAATGATGATCATGTGACCATGGCAGTGTGGTGGCACTGAAGTGGTGGCAGCATGGCAGTGCTGAAGCAGCCACAAATTTGCCAAATTTCGGGATGGCATTTTGGACACATTCTGTAAATGCATTCTGTTAGCCCATTTGAGGTTCCTTGGGTGAAAAATTGTTGTCCTATGATGCACTGTTTTTCCCAATTGAAGGTTACAAACAGACAAACACAAGAGTTTTAGTAGCATATAGATGAATTTTACTCAATCTGAAGTCTATTTACTCCCATTTATGTTAATGACACTTTGTCCATAATAGTCAAACTATCAGCAAAAGCAATTGGTTTCTTAGTCAAATCCATATGTAGTCAACCCTGTTATTTAAAAGTAGAAACAATTTGAAATAAACTAATAGAGAAAGTATAAAATGTTTCTAGACTGGAATGTTTCTTGAGGACTAGGGATAAAGATAGTCCACTATATTTGATAGCCTTAAAAATGAAGGCTTTTAGTAAATCTGCAGTTCATTTTTGGGTTCATATTTCATTGTAAATATTAAGGTTGTTGGAAAAACCTCTAGCTATCTACAGGCAGTTCCCAGGTTAAGAATATTCAATTTATGGACAACTCATACTTACAAACAGGCTGCCTATTACTAAAAATGGTGGACTGTATTCTCTTTCCTCAAGCAGATGAACTGGTGAAGCTACACAATGTTTTCATAAACTGCTGAAGCTGCGTGTTTTTAATACATAGTCTGTTTTCAGCAGATTTCAGTGGTTCATGAAAACATTGTGCGGCTTCAGCGGTTCATTATTGGCTCGAGGAAGGAGAATGCCATCCACCATTTTTAGTAATAGGCAGTTCATTTGTAAGTACGACTTCCAACTTACATACAAATTCGACTTAAAGACAGACTTAGGAACAGATTGCATTCTTAAC